AGTTAAATCTCACCTGCAGACACGGACACAAAGACGCCAGCAAGCAGCAGAATCGAGCAAAAAAATATGCATGTTCCTGCAGACATGTCTGATGACCTTTGTTTTTAAAAATCCTGCGTGCTGATATTATCCGTAAATAACAGGACCAGAGTTCAAATTTGACTGCGTGAGATCAAATTCGAGGCTTCACCAAAGTCACAGTGAAACATGTCACAAACTCTTTCGATTTCACTGGGTTTAAATTATTAAAAAGAAAAGAATTCTTGATTAATTTCCCCAAAATTATATCCTCGATCGCCACGGAGAATGCATGAAGCCTTCAAAATCTTAGAAAAAGGAGCTCACAGTGGGCAGAGCCTTAAACCTTGAAGAACAGGCACATCTCTCAGCGAGCTGCTTTCATTCGAATGAAAACATGAAGTGGAAAAATCTGCCCCCACCCACACACACACACTTACACACACACGTCCTGATTTGTAAAATGTTATAGGTTCATCATTCTTATCCTGATGTTGTCTCGAGCTCATGTTTGAACACGAGCTGCTAACTTCAGTCAGCATAACATAACAACTTACACGATTCTTTTACATGAACTGGTTGGAAAGCAGAACTGATGAAAGATAAGGATAAATAAAGAGGAAATGCTCAGAGACTCAACAAGGATCAGTGCTACTACAATCTGATCTCAGAGGGGAAATTTAACTGATTCATAAAGAAAACTGAAAACAAGGGACTTTCGGGATAAACTTGAGTGTGAGTCACTCCACACAGCAGCCGTGTCCCTTCTGTGGAGTTCACCTGTTTTTGTCTGGAAAAAAATCGAATGAAGGAGAAAGAAGGAGTGTTAAAGTTTTAGATTTCTGAGTCAATAAAAGCAGTGTGAGATGCACATCACTACGAAGTAATTGTACTTTTTCGATACACCGTACTGTTCTTTTAATGGTTTCTATCTGTGAGACAGCCAGCGCCAACACCAGCACCACCACTTTGTTCCTGAATCTAACGGTGGTGAAGGAGATAAAAAAGCTTGAAAGCATGAACTAAATCAGGCTCTGAGCTTTGTATCTGTTGCTGTCTGACAGGCCCAGACAGGAACTGCACACCTTGGCACACAGCATGTGTGAACATGTCGGGAGATCCTCCTGTCTTCAAAACAGTGGAAGGATGTTTTGCTTTTCTGTTGCTTTTTTTTCTTTTCTTTTTCTCTTCTACAAATCAACAGGAATAAAGAGTCATGCTCAAACAGGGTTTTTAGCTGATGTTTTCATGATTGACAGGTTTTTCTACTACAAAACAATAAACCGTTGGATTAAATAATGATTATAAATTGACTGTAGGTGTGTCTCGTCTG